TGTGGGTGTGGGTGTGGGTGTGGGTGTGGGTGTTGGTATGTCTTCTATTCTCTCACACCCACACACCCCACCCACACCCCACACCCTTAATACTGATACCATTGCATAATCTTGCGCATGATTCTCGATATTGGTCGATTGATCCACAACTTTTCTATCCAGAAAGATTTTTGAATGAAGATAAGAATCATCATCCATATGCATTTCTTCCATTCGGTGGTGGTCATCGTCAATGTATTGGTCAAGAATTGGCTCGATTTGAACTTAAAGTTATTATTGCAAGAATGATGCAACAAGTGACATGTGGCGATGGTGGTGTTCAAGTAAATGCTGGTGGATATTTTACAGCACTTACTGTTTCTCCTAAACATGTTGGTGTGACTATTGAATTCGCTTGATGACAATTAAAACTCACTTATAATTAAATAAAACTTCTTTTTATTTCTTACTGTTTCTGAATCAGAGCAATAAAAAATCGTAAATGTAAATATTGAAGTAATGCATTATGTGACAATTTCTTATATCGAACATAAAGATATACATCACACAGTCAGTTTAACTTATCTACTCGGAAATAGTAGTAGAACATAGCTCTGAGAGCTTTAGGATAAAACAGAATCTTATTTCCTTCTTTTCAACTGTAGTACTGAAGCGACGACATTTAAAAACATCGACTTTCGTTACCTATATCTTATTAGTAACACTCTGTTTCATGTTCTCACTGTTAACAGTTTGATTATGAGAATCATAGATCGAAACGAGTCAAAAAAAAAATATCCGACTGGACTCTAGTCAAGTCACTGATCGTCAATCAAAACAATGGATGTTCGAAGGCATATTTTTTTCAACAATAATAATCAACTAGAATATCAACAAAGTTCATAAGACTGTGCCAAGAAAAGAACTTCAAATTACATAATTACATTTGTCGCTTTTTGTTCTCAATGGAACGCAAGAAAATCAAATCTCGGGTGTGTGCATGGATGGTAGATCCATATTAGTCCTCATTCATCTATCGTCACACAGTGCACAGCCAGACGACAACAGTATTTTGTTCAGCTCTAATTTTCTTAGTCACATTATCTGCAAAAAAGTTGAGTAATATCTCATATCTTGAGGGGTGTGGATGGATGGTTGGACACAGAGAAAACCCACATCCATGCCCACACCCAAGTGTTATTTCAATTTCATTTGTAGTTAGGCTTTTGAAATATTCCGTATATACAAGTAGCCGTAATTTAACTGCGATAGACATCATGTTGATACTCGTTGAGCACATGTTCATCCATAGGTAAATTGCATACTACACGTCAATTGTGGTAGCCAACATGTTCAGTACAAACAAGGAATATTCGTCAATTAAAGCGATTTTACTGTTGCAATGAATGCTAATATATATTTCTTACTTTCTTTCAAGATACATTCATATAAAATCAAGGCTGACAAAAACTTTCACTCAAGCTAGTGGTTTATAAAAAGGTGAAATTGTTTTTTTTCGTTCTATCATAGTTTCATATAAACAAAAAGTCTTCCAACACCAAATGGGAGTGAATCGTTTTCTTACTGTCAGGTATGATTTGTCTTGTAAAAAATGATAATGTCACGCCACAAAAATAAAAATTTCGGGCCATTCTCGTTGTCGAAACACTTACATCATTGTCTGTTGACCAAATTGGATGAAAAACATGTTTTTTTGCGGTCTTATAGGATGAATCATTGGGAATAAACATCGATGAATTATTCGTACATGGCGTGGATGCAGCCAATGGAAGGAGGTTGTCGCATGTGCGAATGTTGATGTGGATGGGTGTCTATCTTTCTGTTATCTACATCGACACCCACATTTATACCCACCCTCAACCTATCTCTAATGAAAACGAAAAATCAATCAACTTATCTCATTTGTTGCTCTTTAGCAACTGATTTTTCACAGATTATCTAGTTTCAAAACTAAATTAAAATTGGGCTAAAAGTAAAATAATTCAAAAGAATAATATAGAGTTTAATTTCACTGACGTGTTACGTGTTTATCTATTGAAATATTGAAAGGTACTCGGCCAGATTCAGTATATTACATAGAAGCATATAATCCTCGTTCATGTTTTGTATTTATAATATATCGTTAAATACGAATGTGTCTATTCAATTGAAAAAAATCTAGAAATATTCTTACCATTACTAAATTGTTAGATGGTCAAAAATTCATTCACAAACATAATCAAGCAATTTCACTCAGATATTGAATATATTTTGTGTTTCAATAAAAAAAAAAAGATTCAGAAAACATTTTACATTGTTATTCAAGAGAAACATATATCGACAATATTTGATGCGCATATTACAATCTAAAAGTACAATTACTTAGTATCTGTATCAAGCTTTACGAATACCAAAGTTCATTCGTTATCTAGATGAGTAATGATATGAATCAATAAACATTATTTGGAATGAAATAAGCCTACTTATGTTTGAATAAATGAATGACTACAGGAGAAAGTTTTTGGAGTTAATATTTCATATTGTTAAATTTCCGCAAAAGCAACCCAATATATTATTCTTCCAAGACTTTGACGCACATATCTATGAGTAACTGAAAAATATTTGCTTAAAAGCAAAGTATCTGTGATAATCATTATTCTGTGTATGCACTGTTTTTTGCTTTCTGTTAGAAATGCGTCAGAAAGCTTGAAATATAATACACCTACGCGTATCGCCAAGATATAAAAAGAGTGAAGAAAAAGAAAACGAACGCATATTGACTATATTAGTATTAACTTGCCATGCAGCATTTGCTTTTTATCTTACTCTTCGTAATATTGAGGCAACCTGTCGATGCACTTACTTGTACCACTAATTGCAGCATCTCCACCCAGATCGGCAATATTACCATTCCATCTTGTACTGTTGTGGATAAGCCATCTAATCAGCAAAGTTGCGAAATCGAAATGACAATAGATTATACTTCTGGTTTGATAACTGGACAGCTTAATCCTGTTAAACCGCAGGATTTTGTTTTTTATGCGGTGACTGAATTTGCACTTTACGCTGACATATCGAAATTAATAATCGGACTCGTATGTTATACAGCAGACAGTTGTGATCTAGACTTTGCCAAAGAAGTTTTACGCTTTGATTGGCTTGCAATTCAAAATCAAGTTAAGAATTTGAGAAGATCTTTAGCAGATATGTTATTCAATTCAACTGATACACGACCTCTAGACACATGTCAACGTGGACAGCCATGTCCTGATCAAGGATTTTGTGAAGTAAGTTATCGAGACTGGCGTAATAATAAACCTTCGACATTTTCAAGTTTATGTTCAAACTCGACAAATCAACCAATGCTTCACTGGAGTCAAATACTTTCTGTTGAAACGACACTTGACGAGCTAACCTACACTTGCAATAAACCTTCCTGTGCCTCACGAACACTGACTGATGATATCGTCCAAATAATTGAACGTCAGTATATCTTACCCGTGAATGTCACCATTCCACCAACAACTACAACTACTCAAACATCTACAACATCGTTAACATCAAGAACAACGACAACCGTAGTCACATCTGCGACAACAACTGAAGAGAAGAGCGCAGCTACATTAGTTTATATGAATTATACTAAAACAATTATTTTTACATTTATTTTTCTTATTGTAGCATGTCTATTTCAATTTAATTATATCAATTGAAACTTGAATTCAATATGAACTTTCATATTTTTTTAATCTCCTCCGTAGATACGTCACCTTACAAAAACTAGATTAGATTCCCATCACCTCTAACTTGATGATGTGAGTGTGACAGAAGAACTATATCCACTCCCATACCCTCTTTTCTGTATAGAAGTCGATCATTTTTTAGAAAACATCTTTTTTTACCATCGCTCAAAAAGCTTCGAAATTCTCTACCAGATGATTTTTATGAATAGAAAAGAATCCAATGCTCTGCTACAGACATTAACCTAGAGTAATTAATTACTTCAAAATATTTTCTATTCAAATGTTCATGTATTTACAAATGATTCAACTACCTGTTAAAATGTTCTACGCAACAACATTCCATATGCATACCAAATAAGAAAATTTGATAAATATTTTCATTCAGATAATAATATGCTACTAAAATTTAAAATTTTATATCAATATACCTTGTTTATTTGAGATAACAAATATGTTGCACACTGATAAATTGATCGCTTGAAGTAAACATACATATTCACATACCTGATAATGTGAGAAAGATGTAAATTATGTCTTTCGTTTTTTTCTTATGTTTTGTTACCGCTTAACTTATCTTTTCTTTTATTTCTAATAGTTAATACATCAAACTTAACGTTGAATGAATTAGAGACAAACTAATTATCAGTTCATCGAACTGAATCGAAGAATACAAATAACGATCAATATACAACTCATTTCCAGAGTAACGATATAATCATATTATAATTAGTAAATAAATCTGAAGATCGAATAGTCGAAAACAATACAATCAATGTTAAAGAAAGAGGAACCCGAGCCTTTGTTGGATAAAAATCAAATAAAACTCTCTTCATCAAGGATCATTTTATGTGCATATGTACCGGCACGCTATACCATTGCTATGTGGGCTTTCTTTGGTTTCTTTTGTTTATATGCAATGCGAGTTAATTTGTCTGTAGCTATTGTCGCTATGGTTAGTAAATCGACTATCGGAGATATAGAATTTTTAAATATTTCTTTTAGGTCGCACGACAAAGTGCATTAAATAAATCAATTGAAGCTTTTCCAATAACCGAAAAAGATTCGATAAAACCTTCCCTAGTCAGTATGCCACTGTTTTGTTCTACCTATTATTTACATCAATCTTTTTCAATTAATAGAAATATGAATTTGATTGGGATCCATCTAAAACAGGATTAATTTTAGGAGCATTTTTCTATGGTTATATTAGTACTCAAGTGTAGGTCAAATTTGAAATATGTTCTTCTTATTGTTTTATTCGACATCTTTTCTAGAATTGGAGGTAACAAAAATTTACAGATGAATTCTATAGAAAAACGTGTCGTTGATAGAAAATTTAGCAGAGAAATTTGGTGCAAAGTGGATATTTGGTGGAGGAATATTAATATCTAGCATTTTGACGCTTTTAACACCACTCGCAGCTCGTATTCATTATAAAATTCTTATTGCTATTATAGTAATAATGGGTATGGCGTTGCTAAAAAAAATGACGCGATCAGAAAGAGAGATGTGACACATTTTATGAGATATCATATGATAAGATTATGATAAATAAAATTGTGGATGACAAGAAGGGAAAACTGTGCAGAAAATGGCTATAATGAACGAATATCGTAACAAATTAAAACCGAATAAGAATGTAAAAAAATCACAATGCAAAACATAATATAGAACACGAAGAAACTGTCGATGTTATTGGTACTACAAGTGTTATACCTGCGCAACAGAGAAATATGACACATCTTCAAAAGACTAATGATTAGAACATCTAGTCGACAATAAGTAAATCTATTGTATGGTTGGCCGTTAATGACGTATCTTTTCTTTCATTCTATCGAGTGTATTGACATTTTTACTCGATCTTTTATTAATTAAAGGTCTTGAGGACACTACTTTAGATAATCAAGAGGGCAATGTCCCAAAATTGTTCATTTGATTTCTGAATGTTTATTATGGTTTCTGGTCCAGCATTTCCATCAGCAGCAGCTCTTTGGGGAAAATGGGTAACGAGTTTATCGATCGCAAATATTTATCTTGTTTTTTTTTTTCTTTGAAAAGATACCGGCACGCTATACCATTGCTATGTGGGCTTTCTTTGGTTTCTTTTGTTTATATGCAATGCGAGTTAATTTGTCTGTAGCTATTGTCGCTATGGTTA